CTTCTAATTTTTACTTTTATTCTAATATTAGAAAATTTAAATATTGATTTAATAGATTATTTTATATTAATTAATTATTAGAGACACCAAACGTATGAGGTATTTAACATTTTTCTATATAATTTATTGTAGTATTGTAAGACTAGAATTTTTTGATTTTATTTTAAAACTAATTTTGTTATATTGAAGATTCAAAAAAGTTAGAGAGACGTTCTTGCAAAGTGCGTATGCTAATGCTTTTCCACCCTCTGATCCAAGATTATTCAAACTAAGATTCAAAGAAGTCAGCGTGGAATTCTTACAAAGTGAATATGCTAATGCCTTTCCTTCTTCTGATCCAAGATGATTGCAATTAAGATTCAAATCTTTCAGGGTATCGTTCTTGCAAAGTGTATCTGCAAATGCCTTTCCTCCTTCTGATCCAAGATTATTAAAATTAAGATTCAAAGAGGTCAGTGTGGAGTTCTTGCACAGTACATCTGCTAATGCTTTTCCTCCTTCTGGTCCAAGGTTATTAGTTTGAAGATTTAAATCCTTTAGGGTATTGTTCCTGTAAAGCGCATCTGCTAATGCTTTTCCTCCTTCCAATCCAAGATTGTTAGTTTGAAGATTTAACACTTTCAGTGTATTGTTTTTGCAAAGTGCATCTGCTAATGCTTTTCCTCCTTCTGATCCAAGACCATTCATTCGAAGATTGAGTGAAGTTAGCGTGGTATTCTTGTAAAGTGCATCAGCTAATGTCTTTACTTCTAATCCAATTCCATTATATCCAAGATTCAAATCTTTCAGCGTATTGTTCTTGCAAAGTGCATCTGATAATGCCCTTCCTCCTTTTTGTCCAATATTATTATAATGAAGATTCAAAGAAGTTAGTGATGTGTTTTTGCAAAGTGCATCTGCAAACGCCTTGCCACCTTCTGATCCAAGATTATTATAATGAAGACTCAAAGAAGTTAGCGAAATGTTCTTGCAAAGTGCATCTGCTAAAGCCTTTCCTCCTTCTAGTCCAAGTTTATTCGAATCAAGATCCAAAGAAGTCAATGAAGTGTTCTTGCAAAGTGCATCTGCTAGTGCTCTTCCTCCTTCTGACTCAAGATTATTAGTTTGAAGATTCAAATATTTCAAGGTATTGTTCTTGCAAAGTGCATTTGCCAATGCTTTTCCTTCTTTTGATCCTAGACCATTCATTCGGAGATTGAGTGATGTCAGCGTGGTATTGTTGCAAAGTGCATCTGCTAATGACTTTACTTCTGAACCAATTCCAGTATAACCAAGATCCAAATATTTCAGGGTATTGTTCTTGCAAAGTGCTTTTGCTAATGCTTTTGCTTCTTCTGATCTAAGTTTATTACCATAAAGAACCAAAGAAGTCAGTGTGGTATTTTTACAAAGTACATCTGCTAATGCTTTTCCTTCTTTTGATCCAAGTCTATTTTTAGAAAGATCCAAAGAGGTCAGCGTGGTGTTCTTGCAAAGTGCTTTTATTAACTCGTTTATTTTTTTTAAACCTCCACATTTACTAGAAAGATCCCAAATTGAAGCATTTTTTTGGTCCTCAGCACTGTGCTGACTATTCTTGAGAATTTCTTCATAAAGTTCTAATGCTTTGAGAAATTTGCCTTGCTTAAAACATTCATGTGCATCATTCTTCATATTCTCAAGAATATCATCATCTTGCGTTAAAATATTTGAATTCATTGCATCAGATAAATAAGGTGGAGATAATTGATTACTAAATTGCTTTAAAGTATCGAGAATTATCATTGTCTCTGGGCGATTAACAGGATCACTGTCCCAACATTTTTTATAAAGCTCAATATAGTGAGGTGGCGTACCTTCCACTGGCACTTCTCTATTTCCTTGATAAATGTGAATAGTAAGCGAATATATTGATTCAAAAGTTTGAAATGGTGGTCTTCCGCTTGAAATTTCCCAGAGGATTACGCCACAGCTATATACATCAGATTTCTTATCACGTTTATATTCGTGATCAATAAGCCAATTAGGTTCCAAATATGCCGGAATTCCATGAAAAAATGAGCTTGAAGTCGTAGACATTTCATTTATTTGCTTTGATAGACCAAAATCAGCGATCTTTGGTCGTTTTTTATGAATCAAGATATTTTTTGAATGCTATGAAATATATCAGAACATTAATTGCTGCAACTAAAACTCACAAACATATAAAAACAAATATACTCACAAGGTCTCTATGAATTATATCGTTTTTGTGTAAGAACAAAAGACCGTGTACTATTTCTTCAGCAATCCGTAATTTGTCTGCCCATTGTAATCTTGCAAAATTTGCTTTCAGGTATTCTCGTAAATTTCCTTCATTAGCATATTGTAAAACCATATTATAATGTCCATTGTTGTCTTTATTTGTAATTAATAAACTGAATTAATATTATAAATTTAATATTTATTATTTATGTTTACGAGTAATGAACGTATATACCTTTCGTGATCCCATAGAACTTAATAATATTTGAATGGTAATCAACTTTTCGTAATAGTTTAAGCTATTATTTCAGGTTATTATTAAAAATATTTTAATATTATACCAGGATCAATTTGAGTTATAGTATAATAAATACCTCATGAACAAAATCATTAATAATTTTTTCATTTAAACCTATATCAGTATCGATTTTAAGACATTTAAGAGCAACCGTTAAATAACATTCTTTCCATTCGTATTTAAAAACTTTTCCAAAACCTCCAATCCCAATTATTGTAGGATTTGTGAATTTATTATATTCAAGATTATTGATATGTCCTTCAGAAATGGCTTTTTCAAGCCATTCTTCTGATGGGTTTGTCATTATTTTTATACGCACTAGCTGTTGAAAAAAAATGTAGGGATGTACAACATTTTAGTTATCTCTTTATACAGATTACGTGACACAGGAATTTAATTTATCCAAATCTAAATTCTTCACAACTATCCCTATCGCTATCTAATTAGAAAATCCTTAAAATATACCCGGGGTAGAGGTTATTATCCTGTGTCTCAATTTTAGTTTTTTAGGGTTAGGGTTATTTGGCACGTGATGACTATTTTAAATTTAATTTATTTATTTTTGGTCATAGGTTAAGAGCCTATACCCTGGGTACATTTTAAGGATGCCCATCTAATTATACTTGACTACAGAATCATGTGATTTAAATCACGTGCTTTTCGGCAAGTATTTAAACATATTTGCAAAGATATGAATAAAGTCAGCAAGATATGTTAAATTCTTTTTCGTCCAATTTAAATTCATCGTGTAACCTATAATTATCAGTTAAATCATGTGTAGAAGGTTCTCAAGTATCCCCATGGATGATAACATTATAACAAAATTTCACATTGAGATCAAATTATAAGATTATTTGTTTGGCCGATAATTTCTGACATAATTTCTGAAATACTTGATAAAATTATCTAAATGAATTTTCAACCGATTCGGTTAAGTTTGTGATTTCGGAATAATAGATTACAGCTATTTATTTTCATAATTTCTGGAACACCTACTCGTTATCCGAAATCTTTTTGGTCATCCGGTAAATTATCTAGCGTTCCGGAAATTACTTTGCTGCCTCTGGACTGAAGGTCCGAAGATCTAGATAACGTATTAGGGGAACAGGAGGAACCGTCGATGTTACACGACTGATCTTTCACCCGGTGTGCAACATATAAAAAAATTATTTTACATACCAGATCATTCCAATAGTACATGTTATGATTATAATCCAACACCATTTTTATTATGTTGGATTATAATCATAACATGTACTAACGGAATGATCTGGTATGAATATTTCATAAAGGCATTCATTTGGTAATCGTTACACTTTCGCATTATTCTTACCTAATCTAAGTCTATTAGAAAACCCATATAAAGGGTTGTAGTTAGTGATGTGCCGTGTATAGTATTGTACGCAAAAAATTTTTTAGAATATTCTAGAACAAATTATAAAACCATTCATATCTCAAAAGTTTCCGCCTTTTGTATTCTAAGTAAAATTATTCCTTGCGAAATTTTGCATATAGATAGTTTATATATCATACATGTATTATACATATTGCGCATGCTATACACACTATACGCACTATACACACTATACGTACTGTACGTACTGTACGCTAAAAAAATCCGGATATCATATAAATGGCACATCACTAGTTGTAGTAGTCGCTAAGAAGGGTAGAACTTTTTTTGTACAACTTGGATTTCGATCTTTTAGTAAATAAAGTTCTTTAACTTGCGTATATAAAAAGTATCTTTCGTTATCAGTAAGCCTTCAATGTCTACGACCTGAAACTAAATTGCTATTACGATTCCAAAGTATTCCTTGTCGTAACATTGGGATCTGATTTTAGATCGAATAAGTGACGTATTTATGTTGAAATATGTAATACATAAATTCGATTTTTTTAACGTATAGACTTATTTACATAATCGTTTACTTACAACAAAAACGCTAATTTTATTAACATGTGCATCGATTTAGTTCACTGAGTCGGAATTTTAACATCCCACTTATTTCAAAAAACTTAATTTTGAGACTCCTATTATTTTTAAATGAGCAATCTATCAACATGTTTTCATTTTCCAATACATAAATTTAAAATGATTTTTGTCATTGATAACTTTATTTATTTCGTTAAATTGGTTATTTATTTTATGATGAAAGTCTTTAAAGACTCCACTTTCATTTTCTGATTTCAAAACTTTGGTACATGAATAAGATTTTTTAAACTCACACTTATCGTTATTTCAGAAATACGTTATATTTTTTAATGCGATTTGTTGAAAAAGTGCACAAAATCAACTTTTACGTACGTATGTATTTACATGCGTGTATACCGAAATCACGAACTTAATTGAATCTATTTCTATCAGGTGTTTCAGGAATTATGGTAATAGCTGTAACAATATGATCAGCCCGGTATCATGTTTTACTTGTTTCAACTTCGAATTAATAACACATTTTACATTCTTTTATAGATTAAAATGCCATTGAATAAAATTACAAATCAATACATCAATACACGAAAACATGAAAGAATTTGTCAAATTACAACCTATAACATTCAGGAATATCCAACTTATGGCAGCATTCAAACATCTAGTTCATACCTCTCTAAGTGAACCTTCTATAAGTTCACATTCTTTTTAAATGCACACTCAAATTCTGGCCCAAATATGTACTTGACCTCTATAAATGCATATTTTCTTATTATTCTAAGTGCACATTCTTAAAGGTTGGTCACTTAGAGAGGTCTGACTATGAATTCACATTCTATGATATTTAGCACGTAATATCAACTTATATATTTTAAAGTTAAAAAGAGTGTTTTAAATAAAATTTAAATTCTGCTAATTGCATAATCGGTAAAATTTTAAATTAAGATTAGGATCAGCTTTTAGGCTATTTTGTCCGAAGCATCTGCAGTCAGTGTAACAATCAATACTATTCAGATTCCGAATATCCGGATTTTGTGTAATCCGTATAATCCGGATTTTTCTTCCAATCCGTATCGGTATATCAAAATACTGTATGCGGATCGCTGATCATCCGTTCAAAATACGCGAATCGCAGATCAATCCGTACGGACAAAGTTTAGCGCATATTCATCCAGATCACATCTATATCAGTAGCATCTTTTTGAAATTATAAAAATTAAAAAATAGATAAATGAATAGATAAATAAATAGATAAATAAATAAAATACGAAAATCACTCTTTTGTCCAGACTTTTTAATAGTTCGACAATACTTTTAACAGTACCTTTTGGCTAAAGATAAATTAATATGTATTATTGCAAAATACAATATTAACTATGCAAAATTATGATTATCGTATTCCTTCGAAAATAAGCACCTCTTTTTTTTGCATATAATGCTAGTCAAGATTGTTATAATGCGGGCCAAAATTGGCATAGTGTGGGTCAGGGTGCTTATTTTCGGAGGAATACGGTAAACCAGCCAGGATATGTAAACCTAAATAATAATTTGGACAGGCTTGTATTATTATTACTTGTCTCTTTAAGCTGGATGATTTCTTTTTCGTGCCTAATAATTACTTGTTCAAGTTCAGCAATTTTTGGATCATTTGCTTCATTAGATTTCTGACTTCTTAACCTTCTCGTAGTAATTTCGATTTAAAGAATTCATTTACATTAAGCACTAATGAGTGAAGCCAAAACGTTTGTTGGAAATTAAACCAAAATGGTTATCAAAAAAAAAAGGACAAGACCAAATTGAAGCTTTTTGAAGTCAAAACTCAAAGATCGAGATGTTGCACAGAAAAGATCACGGAATATGTACGTAGGTAAAAAATAAAATCGTATCACCCGGACTTATCTGGAATATAATCCGGTCATGCTGGACCTTCCGACCAGAATTTTTGGGATTCCCTGTTCTATAATATGCATTTCACATCATGTTGTCATTTCTACGTTAAACTGTACCACATAAGTACATTATTTCTGTATAAGTCATGTTCCTGGTTTTAGCGCGACCACGTCACGCAGATACCCTAATATGGTTTACAGGAGAATAAACTGTCATCAAAATCTTGAGGCTGATTGGATGTTACATGCTTCACAAACTTCTGTACGTCAGAAAATCTAATATCTGATTGGTCAGTGCGATCTTATTGTTAATTTTACTACTGCATAATATAGTCACGATTCAAAATTTTCTTTTCGATAAACAGTAACAGATGACAATTAAAATCATGTGAATTAACCTTACAATAAAATAATATATCTATCTATATTTATTATGCAAAACCTTAGAGGCTTTGCCATTGACAAAATATGAAACCTGGTTTTAACTTTCGACAGAAATATGAAATGGTATAATTAACTTAATTTAGTATAAAACGAAAGGTATCGTGACTAGTAAAATCAGCAGATTAACAAAATGGTATAAACGACAAGAAATAGTGAAACGGGCCAAAGATTACATATTCAACAAAGATAACATAACTGACGAAATTCACAAATGGCGAAACTAACAAGAAAGAACTGACTCAATACTTTCTTTCGTATTCAATAATTCTTAATGTATTTAAGTATTGCAATCAAAATTAATTATTATATAAAAATTCTAAATAAATCTTTCTGGTTCTTATACTACACAGACTAAAAAAAGTAATATGGCATCTTTGATTTATTTACGTTCCTGGTTTCAGCGCGATAGCATCACGCAGATAACTAATGTAATACTATAGCAATCTCAATTGGGCGGCTTCGCCGCCCACATGTGCAATTTCTAGTTACTATATAAAATCTTTTTTTACAACTTCTTGAAGAGGACGCCATATCGCATGTTTTATAATATTAACTATATAAAATCTTTAAATGATATTTTTAATTCAACCATTTGTTGTGAATCTAAATAATAAATCAATTTTATTAATAATTATTAAAAAAACTTTAAGCTTATCTTAAAACAATTCTTATCAATAGGTTCATCCAACTTTGTATATATATTAGATTCTTGATTATTTGAAGATTTAGATTCAATTACCATATTTTCATAAAATTATTATTTGTTATCCATGTGTTTAAAATTCCCTGAATTTTACTGGCTGAAGGACGTTTAGCTAAGCATTTACTCATACATTGGTTTGCAAAGTTAATGTATATTTGTGGAGTTCCTTTTGCAAATATTTTATCACCAAGACCAGCAGCTTGACTAGTTGAAACCTCAGACATAATAACACCAAAACTATATATGTCAGCCTTTTGTGTATATGCTTGATTATAAGGATGTTTACATTCGGGAGCTACATAAGGTAAAACCCCATAAATTCCATCATTTAGTGTAGTATTGACTGATAATCCTAAGTCTGCAATATATGCGCTATATAAATTATCCTGCAAAACATTGCAACTATGCAAATCCTGATGAATAAGTCCTTGAAAATGTATGGCTTGAAGATCTGAAGCAATACAAAGCAGCAAATTTAATTTATCTCTCCATTTACATAGTATATAGAATGAAGATTTTCACGCAAAGAACCTATTATAGCATATTTCAAAACAATAATATAATCTTTAGAAATATCATCTTTTGATATTCCATAACATTTTAAAAACGATGGGCTTTTAAAACCAATATCACAGATGCTTTTTATCTTAATGATAATTAGAAATTAATTAAAATAAGATATAAAAATTATAAAAATTGGTTAAAAAGAATGAAATACAAAATAATTGAAATTAGTTAAAAAGAATGAATATATAGATTAGTGAAAATATTCAAGGGCATTAAATTAAAATCACCTCTTTTATAAAGTCTTTACAGGATTCACTTGATCCATGTATTAATTTAAGTGCAACACTTATTTTCACCTTTCGATTTCGGTCGATCACTTAGCACCCTGTCCTATCTTGTCAATATTCCTAAAGTGATTATAAGGAATCCATGATAATAAATATTTATTTTCAGGTAATAATTTTTTTAAATCGGCATCAATATGTGATTCTTCGTGTGTACATTTATATACGTCTAAAAAGTTTCAATTATCAAACTTAATTATTTTGATATTAATAGAATTAATTATTAGCAAGTTACCTGATAACCTATGGTGTTTTCTAATTTTATTATTTAAAAAAAATTACATATTTGATAATAGTGAAAGAATATGATTAAATAAAAAATAGCATATATACTTTTGATACCAATCATTGGCCTTCTGTAAATCTCTTACTATTCCAATTCCATTTCGATAGCAGTAGCCAACTTGAGACATTCCAACCAAATCACCCATTTCAGCCGATTTCTTATAATGAATGAATGCCTTATGTTCGTCTATCTCAATTCCATCTCCATAAAGATAACAATTACCAATTTGAGAGATTCCACTACACTACCCATCTCAGCAGATTTTTGATAATAAATAAATGCCTTGTGTTCATCCTTTTCAACTCCAATTCCATCATGGTAGCAAGCACCAAGATTATGCATTCCGTCATAGTTACCCATATCTGCAGATTTTTGATAAATAATAAATGCCTTGTGTTTATTCTTTTCAACTACAATACCATCCTCATAGAAAATTTCAAGGTTATATATTCCATCAGAATCACCCATCTCAACAGATTTATTAAAATAAATAAAAGCTTTATGTTCATCTTTTTCAACACCAATTCCATTTTGATAACAAATACCAAGATTATAGATTCCATCAGAATTACCCATCTTGGCAGACTTTTAATAGTGAATGCCTTATGTTCATCTTTTTCAACTCCAATTCCGTTTTGATAACAACATCCAACTTGAAATATTCCATTGGAATCATCCATCTTAGCAGATTTTTGATACTGAATGAATGCCTTGTGTTCATCCTTTTCGACTCCAATTCCATTTCGATAACAACGACCAACATTATATGTTCCATAAACATAACCCATATCAGCAGATTTTTGATAATAAATGAATGCCTTATGTTCATCTTTTTTTACTCCAATTTCATCTTCATAACAGACACCAAGTGCAAATTTTCCTTTAACATGACCCATATCAGTATAGTTGGCGGTAGAATTCATTTAACAAATTAATACGGTTACGGCGTGTGTCGTATTATTTTTTGTAATTTCTTTGAGCCGTAACCGTAACGTTGTAATGCCGTAACCGTAATGCCGTAATCGTAATGCCGTAACCGTAATGCCGTAATGGCATAACTGTAATGCCGCTATGTCAAAATACAATAATGCTATTGTATC